GTATTGCACTGCCCAGTGTCAGCAATGCTCAGGGGACCCTGCCGGATGGCACCAGTAGATTCACCTGCAAAGGGAAGCCCATCCACCACTTCATCGGCGTCAGCACCTTCTCCCAGTACACGGTGGTGGATGAGAGTGCAGTGGCCAAAATTGATGCAGCCTCGCCCCTGGAGAAAGTCTGCCTCATTGGCTGTGGATTTTCAACTGGTTATGGGTCTGCAGTCAAAGTTGCCAAGGTAGGAATGACAATGGGTGATAAAACCGGTTACACACAGACTGTCAGGAACCAAAAGGGAAGGACTTTCTCATAAGAATCAAAGATTATTTTTGTAGATTTGGAGTGTCCATTAAGAATAGAAAAATGGCCCAAAAAGAATTGAGAGCACATGCTAGAAATTTCACCTGTTTATGACAGATAAAAAAGTTGTTCAGAGTTAAGAAAAAGTAAAGATGTCATTTCAATAATTATTCTTCTGTATTTGCTCTTTATGAGAACTTGAAATGCTAGGCCTGTGAACTCATGTGGTAATTCATTCAACAATTAGAGAGCACCCACACATGTCTCAGGTATGGTAGGTTCTGCTAGGTTCTGAGACAGCAACCATAAATGAAATGAAGCGATTGTCCTTGAGAAGCATCTAGTCTGTGGATTCTCTATTCCCAGAATTAGGATCAACAGTAGAGTCCAAAGCTCTACCTGATGCACCTCCAAACCAAGGCTCACCCACTCTGTGGATTTGTGGAAAGTAATGAAGCTTCAGTGATCCATAATTCACTCATTATGGGATTTTTTTTTTGAGTTACAAATAAGGGTATTTAGTATTATTGCATTCTGAGGCTTTAATAATGATATTGCTCATAATTTTTGAAAAGATTGCAAAATTATTAACATTGTTTAACACATTTTAAGATTGTTCAAATAATGTAAGTTTCACATTTTATAGCTTTATAGAAAATGTTTCCACTTCACTTAAAAGCCAAAGTTTCCTGGCAAGTCTTTATCCCATACCCAGTGCAGCATTTGTAACATCAAGATGTCTGTTTCTTAGCATCAGTTGTACATGTTATATACTTAGCTTTTTATATCTTAGTGTGGTACAAGCTTTAGCCTACAACAGGAGCACCTGGACGACCTCTGAAAATACACATTGCTGGGTCCTACCCCAAAAGTTTCTCACTCAGTAATGGGCCATGATCATTTGCATTTCTACCAAGTTCGAGCTGCTGATGCTTCTGGTTTCTAGAATATACTTTAGTTTGTTTTGTTTTGTTTTGTTTTGAGATGGAGTCTTGCTCTGTTGCCAACGCTGAATTGCAGCGGCGTAATCTCGGCTTACCACAACCTCTGCCTCCAGGTTTCAAGCGATTTTCCTGCCTCAGCCTCCCAAGTAGCTGTGACTACAGGCCAGCACCACCATGCTCAGCTAATTTTTGTATTTTTAGTTGAGATGGGGTTTCACCATGTTAGCCAAGCTGGTCTTGAACACTTGACCTCAGGTGATCTGCCCGCCTGGGCCTCTCAAAGTGCTGGGAATTCAGGTGTGAGCAGCCAACGTGCCCTGCAGCAAGTTCTTTTTTATTATTATGATTATACTTTAAGTTCTGTGGTACATGTGCAGAACGTGTATGTTTGTTATATAAGTAAACACATGCCATGGTGGTTTGCTGCACTCATTATTGGAATTCACTGCTAAAACGAAATCCCCTGCCATGAGCACACATATATACTTCAGAAGTAGTAAATTTTAAGCAGAAATTTTTTAAAGCTCCTCATCTAAAATGGCTAAAAATCTAGTAGTATCTTTACTTTATGAAACTGAGGTCCAGATACATAAAGATATTTGCCCAAAGTCTCACTGCTGGTTAATATGAGAGCTGAGACTAAAATATTACTTACAAATCTCCTGCTGAATATTAAATCACAGTCCATAATTATTAGTGCTTTTAAATCACAGTCACAAGCCTTGTATTTTTGTAAGTAAGGTAGAAAGTGGTGTTGTCCTCCATAGTATTGAATAACACTTGGTGAATGAATGAATATAAACCCTTAAGGAAATATAAGAATGAGATTATTTGGAACAGGAAGAACATGTTACCCACAATGAAGGCTGACTATGGGAGATTAGGTTTAATAAATAACCCCTGGCCAATTTAAACCAATTAGAGGGCATCTTTTCCAAATTTCACTGAGTTTAGCACTTACTCCCTTGTTCAATTACCTCATCTGTTTCAATAGGTGATCTAATTAAGCCTACCCAAGAATAGAAGCAAAGGATACTCATAACGATAAATTTTATTTATTATTAAAATACAGATGAATGGATGAATGTTTCATTGCTGTGTTGTTCACTAGTATATTTGTTAAAGCAGGGATATACTGGTCACAACTACTGAACATAAATGAAGCAAGGAGCTAATTATTGAGAGTTTCAGTAGAATATTTCTTGTTCTCCTGGAGTAGCGTTTTCCACTTATTTCCTTTTCCAAACATTGCCTTTGTGTATATATGAGATACTGAAGCTGACTCTCATGGCTTTCAACAATCGAGAGTCCCTTCAAGACTCTACTCACTACCATCTGGATCTCAAGGCTCATCCAGTCCCCTGGTTCACAGCTTGACCTCCCCATTGGAGTCACCTGATGACTGAGTTTCACCTGCAGAGATTCTGATTTAATTGGCATGGGCTGTGACCTGGACAGTGGGATAGTTTGTAAAGCTTCACAGATGAATCTAACATGCAGCCATTTGAGAATCACTCAACTAGTTCAACCCCTTGAAGTTAAAAGTAAAGCAACTGAAGCCAAAAGAGGTTTCCATAACAGGTTGGACAGAAGAGTCTGAGCAGCTCTTGATAAACACTGGGAATGGCACTTTGTAAAGCTTAGGCACTTTCTAACAAGTATTACTTAATCCAGTTTTTGCATTTTCTGAAAACACAGGTCACCCCAGGCTCTACCTGTGCTGTGTTTGGCCTGGGAGGGGTCGGCCTATCTGTCGTTATGGGCTGCAAAGCAGCCGGAGCAGCCAGGATCATTGCAGTGGACATCAACAAGGACAAATTTGCAAAGGCCAAAGAGTTGGGTGCCACTGAATGCATCGCCCCTCAAGACTACAAGAAACCCATCCAGGAGGTGCTAAAGGAAATGACTGATGGAGGCGTGGATTTTTCGTTTGAAGTCATCGGTCGTCTTGACACCATGGTATGTACCATGACGTGCCCTGAGATTTCTGCCTCTGCAATTTGGAGGATGCATTTACACAGCAGAACATATGTTGTATATATAAAGGATATATTTAATGATGAATGGAAATTTCCCATCATCTGTTTGTTACCTGGCTTGTTGAATTTATTGTTATGAGAAATATTTTATTCCATAGACTAATTAAACCTGTCTCAAGTCATATTTCCTCGAGAGGAAAAGAAAAGAGCTTGTTTTTCTTAACTGAGCGATTACAGGTTTACTTTACTAATTTTTAGTTAAAAAGTATAAACTCAAGTAAACATAAATAACACAAGTTCTGTTCTCAAATTGGAACGTTTTATTTTTCTCTCACATTCTTAACAAAAATGGCTTAATAATTTTGCATGTGTTCTTAATAAATTCCAAAATTTTTCACATATTAGTATTTGGCCAAAAGAAAAAAGTAATTTTAAGCCAACCGTTGTTTTATTAACAAAAATATGCCCTTAGGAAAGTGACTGCTCAAATGCATCACTATATTTTATCACAGAAACTGGACAGTGCCTGGCACACAGCTAGTATCCAATACTAGTGGGAGTGAATACTTTGAAAAGTCAACAGATTTACCAGCCCTCAAATTTAAAAGGTACATATCACATAGCATTGTTTATGGATTACATGAGACAATGCATGTAATATACTTAGCATACTACCACCTGTCATACGGTGAGCTCCCAATAAATGTTCAGCTGTCTTTTTTCTTTCTTTCTTTCTTTCTTCTTTTTTTGAGACAGGGTCTCACTCTGTTGCCCAGGCTGAGTTGCAGTGTCATAATTATAACTCACTGCAGCCTTGACCTCTAGGGCTTAAGCGATTCTCCTACCTCAGCCTCCAAAAATGCTGAGGGTATAGACATGAGCCACAATGCCCAGCCTCAGCTGACATTAGAGATGTGAAATATTTTCCAATCTTGTAGAGCTTACATCACCTTTGGCTTATTACATGATATTACTTTCAGTTACAAATATCAAAGGCAATGGGAAACACATCTCTAGCTATATTTCATCTACCCAGAATTCTCTAGAGTCCTACTGAAAAAGTCTCCAGAGACCAACAAGTTTCCATTGCTGAGATTTTCTAGAAGGGCCAGCAGTGTGGATAATGGGGAGCAGTACTCTGAGATCAAAGCTCTCGGCAGCCTTGTCCTGGGACAAATGCCACAGAGGAATAAAGTGTCAAGAGAATCCAACTTTTTCCAGGGCTATAGATTTTCCTCTAATGTTCTTTTTCCACATTGTCCTCCATTTTCTCATGTGGAACTGGAGTGTACCTTATCTCAAGATACCAAATATCTGACAGCCACATGTTCTGAGGATGTCTGGTTTTCCAAAGGTCAGAATCAAAAATCAAAAAAACTAATCATTAAATACCTTGGGGGGATTTTAAACCATTTTCTAACTACAAAACATGTTCAAAAAGCTGACTGGAAAAGACTTTCTGAACTGTCTTTTGAGGTTTCCAAATAATCAGTGTATTTTAATGTAAATCCAATATATATTTGGGGAGGTAAAAACAATGTTTAAAACATGTCCATTTGAAAAAGGGACAGTAGAATACTTATTTGTTAAAAAAAAAAAGGAGGCCAACAAGTGGACAAGAAACTAATTTTGGTGATATAATCATTTATCTTGTTCCCCTTTAAAATATGTGGTTGAAAGTACTGGGTTCAAAATACATATGTAAAAAATCAATGAAAAATGAATCAACTCACAGATTACCTAAGATTGATGTGATGCTGAAATTGTATGCTTATATAAGGAACCAGACATAATATATGTTTGTAATGATGTCTACCTCTCTATTCCTTTTTAGGAAGAATTAAGTGCGCACCAATTTATTCATCCATTCTTTCATTCAAAAACCATTTGCTGGGCATTTCCTAAGTCCACAGCACCATCCCTTGCAAAGAAAGGGGGAATGAAGAAGGAAAAGACATGATCTCTTCCCTCTATACACTCACTATCTAGCTAAGCCTATTACATGATATTGTGCATTATATGAGTAGGAACTATGCTACCCACGTTAAGGATGCCAAATATTCACTGTATTGCAGATGGCTTCCCTGTTATGTTGTCATGTGGCATGTGGCACAAGTGTTGTCGTAGGGTTACCTCCTGATTCCCAAAACCTCTCAGTGAACCCTATGCTGCTACTGGCTGGACGCACCTGGAAAGGAGCTGTTTTTGGTGGTATGTAGTTAGGCTTCGAGCCAAATTTTCATTAACCTCAGTCTATCTCCCCTTTTACAAGTGACAAGGCAAGGTTTTGAAAAACAAACTGAAAATAATTTAAAATTCCTTTTCTATCTATAGTCTCCAAATCAACTAGGTATGGAACTAATGCAGATAGAGGTCCCAAAATAGACTTTTCTGATGTCACCATTAACCAAGAACTTTCATCTCCATCTGTTTTGTACTTGTGACTGTGTAAGGTATGGAAATTTCTAGTAAGACACAGAATCTACATCAATATTTCATATCTACACTCAAATTCAGACAACTGATAAATTTTTTCTTGACTTTGGGCCTAACATCTGTGCTATGATTTCTCTGTGTGAGAGAAAATAAGGACCCTTGTTTCTCTGCATTGTTTTTTAAGTCAAAGCACGGTAAAAGCATGTGAAAGTGCTCTATCTCTTATTAACCTCAGACATTGCAGTCTGGAACGCAGCACCTTTTCTAAACTTTCATTTATTTGGAAAATCTTCTCTTCAATTCTCCTACTTACCTGGGCTGACTCTAACAATGATATTATCTTCTTTTCAGGCTATAAAAGTAAAGAAGATGTCCCCAGACTTGTGGCTGATTTTATGGCTAAGAAATTTTCACTGGATGCATTAATAACCAATGTTTTACCTTTTGAAAAAATAAATGAAGGATTTGACCTGCTTCGTTCTGGGAAAAGGTAGATTTTAAGTTAGTTTTCTGTTTTGCTTTGTTTTCTCCAATAGAGGATTGTCTATCAGAAAAAAAAAAAAAAAAAAGAGGTAAGAATGAGAAACGTTAGAGTACCTTAGTTTTTCCACTATTAGTTCAGTCTTTGCATGGAGCACATGTAGGATTATACTGTGAGAAGCTAAAAAGAGTTGCTTTGCATTTCCCATTCTGCTGAAGCCAAAATACGTTGATTACAGCCAATCTGAATGATCAAAGCCTCTCAGCCTTCTTTAAAAGAAAACACTCACCTTTGCCCCCTCCCCTAAAAAAAACAAACCACATACACACACACATATATGTGTATTTCAAAAACCATAATTATAACACTGTGTCACTGAAGCCTCTACCTGCCACCTATATGAGGCTGACATTAAGTGTCCATATATTTGAATAATTTTCAGGATATCCTCAACATTTTCATTATGGGAGTAGGTAGAACTACATTGGAATTGTTTTCCAAGTAGATATTACTAGTTTTTTCTTTTTTTTCTTTTGCAGTTTACAAAAATTTGTTTTTAATAAAAGTTATTGGAAAAGAGAAATGTACTAAACACTATTGTAAATGTTTGTCTTGCATTTTCTCTGAAGCATAGAAAAATAAGCCAATTTTATTTTCTAACATTTAACACTTACAACCAGCTAATAAAATAAATTCTGTCAACTGCATTTATATGAGGCACAACTGAAAACAGGCAGTTATCTGCCTTCTAGCTCCAGAGTCTGTTCATTTTTATGCTATCCCACACTTATTTTAATGAGGTTTTCAGCTTTAAATAATGTTTCCTTGACACTCACAAAACTATTATACCAGATACTCTAACTGACAAATATTCTTGAGGAGGTAAAGAACTAGCACCCACAGAGCACCAGCTGTTCTACTAAGTGTCTTCTGTATTATCTCGTGTGATTCCCAGACAATGCTTAGTATCAGTCTCAAACTCACTGTCTTAGAGAGGAGAATACTGAGACTCAGAGAAGATATAACTTGGCCAAAATCATCAGTTGGTAGGAAGGGGAGCCAGAATTCAAAGGTAGATCTTGTTTTAGCAAATCTATTCACTTTCTGTTAAACCACACCACCCCTCAAGAGTACATGTGTATATGGAACACAGTAGTCATCAAAGGTTAGTTATCATTGTCATCATTATTATCATTGACATCATCATTGGGATCATCATCATCACAGCATTGGAGAGATGATGGCAAACAGATAGATAACCAAAACCAGAGAACAATGTTCAACAACATAAAAAGTCATTAAGCATGCCTAGATTCACTTTATGAGAATGTCATATAGTAATATGCATATGTAAATAAAATGAATCCTAACAATAAGCAAAGATTAAAAATTGTAATATTCAATATTGGTAAGAGTAAGGTGACTGGGTCCCTTCCTGTACTTTCAGTAGTAATTGATACATTCTTTTAGGTAAGCAATTTGGTAATATGTATCAGAAACCCTTATAAAAAATGGATCTTTTGTTCTAACAATTTCATTTCTAGAAATCTATTCTACAGAAATAACTATTCAAATATACATATGTGTTTAAGCATGTTTACTTGTTTCTGTAATATCAAAAATTAGAAACATTCTAAATTTTAACATGAGAAAAATGATTAATAAATTCCAATCATCTATTAGAAATGAATAAAGCCATCAAAAAGAAATGACTTCATTGGGAAATTCTCATGATATACTTTAGGCTCATATAATAAAGAATATAAATTGTATACACAATGTATCAAATTGTCAACAAGAGCCGTAAAACTTGTACATATGTCTCAGAAAAGTTGATAGAAATTCAAGAAAATATTGAGAATGATTATTTCTAGGTTGTGGGATTCAGATTACTTTGACTTTCTTCTTTCTGATGTCTTGTATTTTCTAAATCATGTGCATATATTTTTCTTATATATGCATATACAAAAATTAGCAAAGAGTCACAAAGACCATAATTTTCTAAAAATATTAATTAATAAGGAGTTAGTTTATACAAAGGGCATAGTTCTAGTGTAAATGTTACATTTCTAATCTTCACAACAATGAAGTATCTTAGAATTAATACAAATCAACTTTATTCTCTACTTCTAAGAATCCTCAAACATCTCTGTATCAACAGTCTTTTAAACTTCCAGCATGGCCTTAACTTTGTTAATTTATCAGTTCTTTCAAGCAAGTTATCCATCATCTTAAATTTGTGCAAATTTGTACTTGGGTTTGAATCCCAACACTCTATACTAGATGTGTGACCAGAGCAAGTTACAAATATTTCTAAGTCTCAATTTTTATAAACTTTAAACTGGAAATAATATGGAAACCTACCTCCTAGTGTTAATGTTTAGGTTGAAGTTTAAATGAGAAAATGCATGAAAAATGTAACAAATAGCAATAACTTGTTGCAAGTTATTATCCATTGTTGTTTTATATTCCTTATTATACCAGGAACGTGGGCACAAAAGAATGATTTTTTGAAGATCCTAATGTAGAATTGAAGTCGAAATGGCAGGCATACTCAGATTGTTGTGAGTGAGGTTAAGGTTGAAGTAAAACAAGAGAAAACAAAGATGAGCTTCCCTTTGACTTGACTTAACCCAAATGCAGGAGGTTTGGATTAGAGTGGCTGAAAACAGACAGATTTTTAATAAGTCACCTCAAATGCTCCTTGGATGTGGAAATGCTCTCACATGGAAACGTGGGTTGCCTAAATGTTAACGCATTTTCCCTTCTTTCCCACTGCAGTATCCGTACTGTCCTGATGTTTTGAGATAATACAGATGCCTTTCCTTGTAGCAGTCTTCAGCCTCCTCTATCCTACACAATCTGGAGCAACAGCTGAAAAACATCATTAATTCTGCTCTTCAGAGATGTAATCAATAAATTACACATGGGGGATTTCCAATGAAATGAAAATTGATGGGAAATTATCTTTCAAGTAAATGTTTACTAAATGAAATGTTGAACATCAGCTGGGGAATTGAAGCTAATAAATCTTCCTTCTTAACCATTCTACCTGTGTCATCTTTTCCATTGAGAAAAACTATTTCCTATGACTTCTTGCATTTTTGGTATCTTCACAATCCTCAGTCACTGAATCCCAGTGGAGGCGACCTTTCATTTACCCTGAACTTACCCATGCTAGGCTCTTGCGCTTGAAGTCTCCTACCTCTATCTCAATTTTCACTGTCGGCATTTTCCTTTTTTTTTTTTTTTTTTTAAATAAAATGTACCGAAGCCCTATGGTAAAAGCTACACTATGGTAAAAAATAGATTCGTATTTACAAGTGGTGCAAGTCCAAGAGTTCTAAATCCACATCACACATTTTCATACAGTGGAAGGAAGTGTTTTTCTGACTTTTATATACTATTTCTTCCTGGTCAATATAGAATTTATTTTTTAAAATTAAAGCAGATTTCATGCTTCATATGACTCAGGTTCAATTACTAATTGCAAAAACTGAAGTATTCCTGGAATCATGTTAAAAAATCTGTAATTTTTGCTCATGAAAGTGCTTCATTGGCTTAACTGTATTAGTATATGACTATAAATGATTATTTAGATGATGACTGAAAATCAGTATAAAGTAATGAAAAGTAATATGGTGGCTTTATGTGTAGAGATGGGGTGGCAAAAGCTGTGAACACAGAGTATAAAATTGGTAACTAAGAAATGGCACAAACACCTTAAGCAATATATTTTCCAGTAGATATAGATATATATCTACACACATACATGTATACACATATACAAATGTGTATTTTTGCAAAACTATTTTTAATCCAGAACTTTCTATTATTTACCATGTCTTACATCAAGTGTACAATCCTCGAATTAGTTTAATATTTTGAATATGTAAAGGCCTGTGGTGCCCATTTGTTAATGCTTTCCCACTCTCAGGGAAATGATTTGCATTTTCAGCTTTATCTCTAAAGGTGACATGCAAAGGTTACTCCTGTTAAAGGAGTTACAGCTGTCTCCAAAAATGCTACTTGTTGAAATATCTACAATCTATTTCATATTATGAAAGACCTTAGACATAAAGTAAAATAGTTTATCATTTACTGTGTGATCTTCAATAAGTCCCTCAGGCTCTCTGAGCTTGTTCATCCTTTGTTTTGAAAAAGTTACTCGACCAACCCATTACAGCTTAACCAAGATTAAATGGGATGATGTTAATGAAAGGGCTTTGCCAACTGAGAAAGGCCATGTAAGTGTGGGGAACATGTGACGGTTTTGTCAAAAATGCTGAAGGAGAGGCAGGGTGCGGTGGCTTATGCTTGTACTCAACAGCACTCTGGGAGGCTGAGGCAGACAGATCAACCAGGGTCTGGGGTTCAAGACCAACCTGGCCAACAATGGTGAAACCCCGCCTCTACTAAAGATACAAAAATTAGCCGGACATGGTGGCTGGTGCCAGTAATACCAGCTACTCAGGAGGGTGAGGCAGAATGGCTGAGCCTGGGAGGCGGAGATTACAGTGAGCCAAGATCGCACCACTGCACTCCAGACTGTGCGACAAGAGTGAAACCCTGCCTCAAAAAAAAAAAAAACCTGAAAGAGATACTCAGAGTCAAGAAAGTTTTCAGAATGTCCCTAGGATAACATCATGGAACACTACCTGTTGCTGGTGCTCTGTGGCTTTTACTCTGATGCTGATGGTGTGAGATCCAGAAAAAGAAAAGGGGGTTCTACGTGCCCATCTCACAGCAGTGATCAAATCCTGCCAGTGGCACAGAGTCTGGCTCTAACTCCCACCCTCCTACCTCCCAGGCTAGGGTAGCAGGTAGAGTGGGCGCATTAGGTGGGCACTGCCAGTGTTCTCATAGAGTGACATGCTCCTCCATGGGGTGGGAGTAGCACATGGGAGCCTTTGGGCACCATGCACTGGTGTCTAGTTACATTGATATTGGTGGGAAGGAAGCAAGTCAAAATCAAAATATAAAAGTGGAATCCCAGAGTGGCTTGTGTCCTGGTGTGTCTAAGTGGTGCACATGATCAGGGGGACTTCCAGCAAATTTTGACTCCGGAATCAAGAACTTCCACATTTGGCGATCACCCCCTCCATAATGTAACTCTGTGAATGTAAATAGCTTACACTCATTTTAGCCAGCAGCAAAAAGCTTAGTCAAAATGAAGAAACTTTCAAAGTTCAAAGAGAAAAAAGTTCATGTTGATGGTTTAATAACTCTGATGCAGTAACTTAGCACCTCCAGAAAGAGCACACAAACAAAACTCTGAATTAACCTTTTGCTACTTTACAAATCATACATGCTGCTCTGGGATTAGAACAAAAGTCATCTTGACAGAATTATTAGAAAATTGCTCAGGCGTTGAAGTACAGTTAGAGATTATTGCACAAATAACCTCTAGTTAGGTGTTCCCTGAAAATATTAAAGTAACTATTTTATTAAAGCACTTTAATTTTTTTTGGCCTATCAGATAAATACATAGCCATATTCAAGAAGTGAGCCACTGCATAAAAAGAGAAAGAGAAATTGGTAGGGCAAGAGTAAAGGTTCAATGAGATTAGTATAGTTGGTGCCAAACATTGTTTCGATGAGATGGATGGTTACATATGTGAATTTGGTTTGTTCGTTTCATTTGCTTGGACCTCAGAGTCCAGATCATCTGCACAGTACTATCACAGTCACCAAGAGAACCCACAGGCTACTTAACACTTCACCAAGAAAACTAAGATAACTGGATAGAGAAAAATATCTGTTTCCGTTTCCAGGCTTGCTCTTTGAGGTATCTGACACTGCAATAAATAACTCAGAATTTCTCAATGAAAGCAGGTCAGAGAGATCAACAAGTAATTTTTATGTAAATGTATTTAAAGACTACTACTCAGAAACCAACAATTTACAGCATTTTGGAAGATATCTAATGGTCAAAAAGAGATATAACTACAGTTTTTTAGTTTCTTGAGGGGTTTTTTGTTTTCTTATTTTTATTTTTAAGCTTTTACTTTGGTTCAAGGGGACATATACAGATTAGTTATACAGGTGAACTCATGTCATAGGGGGTTGTACAGATTATTTCATCACCCAGGTACTAGGCCTAGTATCTAATAATTAAGTATGTTCTCATCATTTAGCTCCCATCTCATACCAGTCAAAATGGCTATTATTAAAAAGGAAACAAATAACAGATGCCACTGAGTTTGCAGAGAAAAGGGAATGCTGTACACTGATGGTGGGAACTTAAATTAGTTCAACCATTGTGGAAAGCAAAGTGTCCATTTCTCAACAAGCTAAAAACAGAACTACCATTTGCGCAGCAAGCCCGTTACTGGATGTATGTGATTCCCAGAGGAATCTTAATCATTCTACCATAAAGACATGTGCATGCATATATTTATTGCAGCACAATTCACAATACCAAAAACATTGAATCAAGCTAAATGACTGTCAATTGGTAGACTGCTAAAAAATGTAGTACATATACACCATGGAATACTATGTAGCCATAGAATAGAATGATATCATGTCCTTTACAGGAACATGTATGGAGCTGGGGAATATCATTCTCAACAATAGTAACACAGAAATAGAAAATCAAAAAACTGTATGTTCTCTCTTAAAAGTGGAAGATAAATGATAACTACAGTTTTGTAACAAACATTTTTAGTTCATAGTAAATTTAAATAATAAACATCACTTAGACGATACCATGTTGCATTGTGGGTGGGAGGAAGTAGCTGGGAAGTAACTTTATTTTAAAACTGAATCCAAATCTCAGGAATTTGGAAGCAAAATGAAAGCTGGAATAAATTCTTTCATTAATAGAGGAAGATTCTATGGCTTTTTATTTAATCTTTCCAAAATCTTATAACTATAATAAATAGCAGAATGAATTTTGAACAGTTGAATACCGTTTATTTCACATTTGGTATCCTCTCCTCCTTCAGGACATTTAAAGACAGAGGGCATTCAAGAATGTGCTGGTTGACTTCTGAGAGTGAAAGAGATTTAAGGCTCTCTGAGCTATCTGCTCTCCATCTCTGCAATAGTTCTGAGCGAAAAGAAGAGTGAAGGGGGCCAGGTATAACCATTACATCCAAAATGAATACCTAAAGGATAACATGGCAATGTTTAGCCTGAAATTTCTATTCCATTGATTGGTACCTAATGCAAATATTTATGCCTAAATTTTAAAGATGAGGAGGAGTTTGACAGAAGCAAAACTGGAGGAGGGCACCCATAAGGTTTCAGCAGGAAAGCATAGAACATGTTTCAGGAATTACAAGCACTTAGTATTAAGGGCCTGTAAACTTCACGATAGGAAAGGTCTGTGGCCAAGTGACAGTGATTCCTGGATTCCATATAAGAAGTTCAGATTTAACCTTAACTATCTAAGAACAAAAGCTCTATTAAAATTTTTCTGAGCAGATTGGTGATAAGCTCAGATTGGCATATTAGAAACTAATTCCTTTGACCGTGAGGCCTGTGTATTAGAGGTGAGGAGAGGAATTGAGAGAATTAGGAGGTTTTAGCTACATAGAGGCAAGACAGAATGAATTCTGTTTCAAGCAGTGGCAAAGGGAAAGCAGGGCACACGATAAATGAGACATTCCTAGGAAGTATCGGTGACACGGCATCAAGATCAAGAGCGTGTGGGACACAAGGGATAGGGAGGAGGCTAATTCCAGAATGCCGACCTGACAATGTGGTGTGGATGGTTGGTCCCCTTACCAGCTTGCAATCTCAAAACAATTTTAGGTATTTGTGGTGAATATAGTTGTCTTAGTCCGTTTTATGCTGCTATAACAGAATAGCTGAGAAGGCATGATTTATAATGAAGAAATTTATTAGCTCACAGTCCTAGACACTGGGAATTTCAATATCCAGGTGCCAACATGTGTTGAGAGGCTTCTTGCTACATCATCACGTGGTAGAAGGTAAGAGAGAGAGAGAGCAAAAAAGAGGCTGAACTCATCTTTTTGCAGTGTAATTAACCCCGCCCGTAATGGTGGAGCCTCCTGGCCTACTTATTTCCCAAGTGGCTCCACATCTTAATACCACTACAATGGCAACCAAATTTCAGCATGAGTTTTGAAGGAGACAGACATTCAAACTATAGCAAAGATTAACAACGAAATGGACATGATGAAGTTCCTCTAGGATTTTCAAATGCAGTTGTTTATACAAAGTCTGAAGCTAAAAATGGGAGGTACAGTTGTTGTAGGAACAATCCTTAGTCATCTTTGTGGAACAAAGATATGCGAAGCCAATTAATAATGGAGTTCATA